CCCCCCCCCCCCCCCCCCCTACTAACAACTGCAGTGCTTGGAGTGCTCCTTACACACACACACACACACACACACACACTGCCCTAATGCTTGCATGTCTGGATGCTATATTCACACCTGTTCAGGACAGGTCCATAGCAGACAACCAACTAGTCTATTAACTAATTTAAAACTGCAGATACACACAAACGTATGGTTCTTAACTTGTCTTTCACCTTCTATTATACACATGACACAACTGACTACACATCACACACCATAGATACAAAAATTCAAAGATAACATTTATCAAAAACAATATTTTCTTAGATGACATGCTTCTTTTCACTGAATTCATTTGCTTTGTGCTAAGCTGATAACTGACCATGTCAAATGCATGAGAACAACAACAAGACATTATCAGAGTCCTGCGCTGTCACGAGGGCCGAGCCCATACCGTGCAGGATAAGATACACAACATCTCTCAGCAATGGGAGCAACAAGCCTACAAACCTATCACATAGTCAGGAGGCTGTTATCAACTCTGTGGCACACTGTCAAATGGAAATTATAAAAAAAGGAAGAGAGAGGAAGGAGGGTGAAAGGAGACAGAGAGAGAGAGAGAGGAGGGAAGGGAGGAGCTGTAAGAGAAACAAAGTATTATCTGTGACAACAGGAGCATAAAACTCTAATCGTGTCTTCTACAGTGTTAAGTTTAGGTGGAAAGAGAAATAATGATGTGAGAGACACGGCAGCCTGTGTCTGCTAGCTTCAGTAGGGCCCTACCTTGCTGCTGCTGAGGTGACTAAGTGTTTTGTTCATGCTAGCTCAGTTTTAGCAGCCTGGTGAGTGAGAGATGGAGATGTCACTGAAATCCTAAACAGTGATCACTCCATAGCTCCATTTCTGAACTGAATGGCTAAATCTCTGTCTCTATTCTACACGCTGACCCTTTGAGATACAAGCAGATGCCGAAATGCTATAAATTAATGAAACAATCACAAGACCTCTACAGGATACAAACAAAAAAAACAGCAATTGTACAACAATAGCTCAAGGCCACAATATATCCAAGAACAAGACTGATTTTCTTCTTTAAGCTTTCAATATTTACAGAGATGAAATGAGAAATACAAGAAACTGACAACTGAATTTCCTGAATTAAAAAAACAAAACAAAACAGCTAACGAATATAAAAGCCTGTGTAGCTACTCCTAGAGACTATGTTACTCCTTATGATCTATGTTAGACTGACACTATTGTTCTCAATGCTCCTTGCTGGTACACACAGTTATCAAGATATTCTTTTGTGGTTAGATGGTGAGAAATTGTGAATTTCATCACTCTCGGGGTAGCCTACACACAGTAAATATAGTCAGACACTGTCAGGGGAGGGAAAAGTCTGGGAAAGAGCCATCACATCCTTTCCCCAGTCCGAGGTCACACTCCTCCCTGTGGCTAGTGGAACTGTCCTTCTCACACCGTGCACTCTCTGGTGCCATCCTAGAAGTTGTCAGCTGATAAAGTCACTGAGAAGGTTGGATTCACAGTATCTGGCTCCCAGCACACTGCTGCTGAGACTGGGTGACTTTCAGGGTGAACATGGAGCTGCAGGCAAAGGCTGAGAACCAGAACACAACAGACTTACAGTCCAAAAGCTTGCACTAAGATAAGTCTCACATTTTATTGTTTGGGTTGGATTTGATTCAGAAGGTTATACAGTTCTACTGTTGAAACTAATGTATGTTTATCAAGGAAAAAGGAATATATTTCAGGAGCATGAATGTATACAGAGTAGAGATTAGGGAAAAATGATTAGGAAAGCAGAGAACAGAGGAACGGAGCTGACAGAAGAGTTAATATGAAGAGAAGACAGAGAGAACAGAGCGACTGTCCAAACCTTTGATTGTCTTCTCACTGTGCTGCACATTTGGTAACTGTCTTCTGTCCTCTCTTTCTATCGCTTCCCATACACACAAACATTCACTGCTTCCAACCTGGCCAGAATGAGAAAGGTTCACTGCTCTAATTTCACCACAGTAAAAAGTCTGGGTCTGATTATTTATTTTATAAACTCAGCATATACTGGAATAGTCAGTGGAAACATATAGTCTTACCTCTGGCTGCCAGCTATCATATCCTGTATGCCTGCCTAAATTATGATCTATGAAAATACCAGGTCATTAAAGAAGACGGCTGGGTGACAGGACCCAAGGTAATTCATCATTTTCCAGTCAAACACAAAGACCTTACAAGTATATACTTAATGAGCCCAATTTAAATACAGAGAAGTCACCATATCACACATGGTTGTACTTATCCTCTTTCAATGGATCTCTGAGCTCATGATTTCCATAGTTCTGTATATTGCCTTTTCTAATTGTGTAGTAATTTCTGGCCAAGCTCACACGATCTGTTGTTAGATAGTAGGACATCAAATTAGGATTCAAATCATCTTTCATTAATCTGATACTTGATAGGAAAATGGATTGAATAAACGACTCACATCACCAAGATGTGGTCAGATACTGACCTTCAGCAGCCCCTAGGGTGGAAATAATACAATATATTTCTTTTTGTTTTCAATTTAAAGGAGCAGTGTGTAAGATTGAGAAATTTTTTACAGTAGCCTAGAACGAACAAACCACACACTGGGTCTAGAGCGTGAATTTTGCGTTTTCACGTTGAACTAGCAGCTTGGATTTGGATACAATTGTAAGATGAAAAAGAAGTAACATTAGATACAAGAGTTTAAGAGCTATAATTTGAAGAAATAGAGGATCATATTTACACTTTAACACATGTGAACAGAAGACAAAGTGAATCCCCTCCATCAAAGAAGCAAAGACACAAAGAAATGAGCTAGGGGATGACACAAGACAAGGTATACTGTTCTTGATTCTCAGTATGTGGCATGTGGTACCATGTACTATCCCCAACATACTATGACGGATGGAAAAACAAGTAGCGTGAGTCAAGTCGAGCTGTACCAGGAGGTGAAAAAGGGGCTTAAATCTCACACACTGCACCTTTAAAGCAAAGTGGTACATTTTCAGAAATGGCTAGAGTGTTAGTATTCATTTAAAAGAAGCATAAACAATAATTTCCAATGAGTTAACACTAATTTACAATAAAAACTTCAAAGTCAATGTATAAACATAAAGTGAAAGAGAAAATACACAAAAGTCCAGACTCAAGCTCCACCTGATCTGCATGGCATCACAGGCCCTGCAGCAGTGTGGAGAGATGAGTTTGGTTACAGGCTTGTAATTGGGGATTAACATCTGGGTCAGTGATAGGACTGGATGGCAGTTGTCAGGTAGAGATCAGAGCAACATAAACCCTGAAAACATTAGGAACTCATCTGCTGCCCCTCGGGTGAAGAAGATGAAGGATACAGTCTGAATTAGTGTAAAATCCATGCACACAGCAAACGTTTACACATACATCCAGGCAATCCCGCTCTTTCACACGCACACTTTTGTGATTTATAAACAGCATCTTTGCCGTTTCTGATTTGATTGAGAGCACTGCAAAGCATATAAGCAGAATAAAATCAATGGCTTCATGCTAACCAACAAGGGCTGCACCCACCCGTTCACTCAGCAATTACTATGCCACTTGAATCAATAGCAATACTATCTTCACAAGGTAATTTACCCAGTGTTTGGGGAAAAATAAAAATACATCTTACAAGTGAAGCACATTATTTGAAACATGTGAGTGTGTGCCTTCCATTTTCATGAGTAAACATGGCGTATTTTTAGTCAGACAAGCCTTCATTTTATTACAGCAGTAGAGCGAGGCTGAACAATGGCAGGTTACCTCATGCATAATTCAGTTCATACAGAACAAGCATTCTTAAACAACCTTGAAAACAAAGTCGGGCATCTCCTCTTGTCTAATACGTATGTTAAAAGTTAATGGCGGAACTTAATGCACATCTATTGTCCATTTATTAGCCCCGTTACTGCCCAATCAGTTTCATATTGTAGGCAAAGCAGCAGATCTGTGGCCAGCTGATGGATGCATTCCAGGACTGGACAGCTTATCGATGTGTAGCACTTTAATGGAACGGGGTGAGTGCTTTGACTTTGTCCAGCTCACTTTATGACTTCTCAGAAGTGCTGCCACCCAGGAATTAATGGATTGGATGAGAGGATGAAGATGGTTGTCGAAGAGGTAGCAATTAGCTCTAAAGGAACAGAAGAGCCTCCCAAATGTGTGCTGATTCACTTGAGCACTCCATGCAGGCAGAAGTGCCAAACCTATTGATGATCATGTCTATGGATGACAGTGATGAATGTCTAAAAACAGCAATTTGGAACGTGGCTTAACCCAAACATCACAAAGGTGCTCTTAGTGCAAATACTTATAATACAGGTGTCCTGAATAAGACTTAAACCCATGAGAATACCAGTGTGGTATTTGAACCTTATTAAATGTATCTGGTATATTGTTACCCACTTATCATACTGCACAGTATGTGTCAAAGGTTATTACACTGATATCCGACTGAATTATGCACTCCCTTGTGGGGAAAAGGTTTATTTTGTCTACATCGATTCCAGATTACA